AAAGAGCCCGAAAAACCCACAACAACTATTAGATCCCGGCCGTGATAGCCTTCGCGAAAATACGTGAAAAATCACAATCAATCATCCACTAAGCTATGCAAGCTGTAATTGTACTTTGAAGTTCCCATTTATCATCATATTGTCATCGTCATCAGAAACAATACAGAAGAGAGAGAAAAAAATCACCACCATGATCACAATCAAAATAAAAAGCAGACCAACACATACTAAGGACAATAGTACAAAACCCTACAAACTAAAATCCCAAAATATGGGGCATTAATGAAACAGCTCTCTCCCCTACTTCTTTGATACCTTCAGTCTAGTAGTTCAGCCTATAGTCCACCAGGTGAAGGGCAATCAGGCAGCAATAATAAATATGGGAAAATCCCACCAAAGATAAATAAAATTGAAGGCAGAGTAATCCAAAATATGAAAGAGCTATAATTTTGTTAACCTCTCCTCTGGAATCTCAGATCTTTAAGATTCCAGAAGCCCTTCTATTGTACAATCACAAAAGATTTTGAAAACAGAAGGAATGGACTCATTCATATTTTTTCCCCATCTGAAGTGAACCTCAAATAGCCAATGCCCTTCTATTGTAAAATCACAAAAGATTTTGAAAACAGAAGGAATGGACTCATTCATATTTTTTCCCCATCTGGAGTTAACCTCAAATACCCAATCCTATATGCACACCAATCCTCTGAGAATGATTCAGTGCCTGGAGACCTGGCAACTCCAAATGGAATAAAATAAAACTAGGTGGTGTTTGTGTCGTGTTACCCTCTCTTTCGTTTTCTTGTTAAGCTAGGAACGTGCACAGTTTTGCCTTCCCAATTTCCATGGTGACTGTGCAAGATTGGGTGGGTAGCTCAGTGGTTACGGCGTCTGGTCACAATGGGAGTTCAAGTCCCCACTGTGCCTTCCAGAAGAGTCAGCCTGTGTTTCCTTGGGCAAGCTGCACAGTCCCAGGGTGACCCCGGAAAAAGGGAAGGGTCAAGAACTTCTGAGTATTCTCTACATAATAAACCCTGAAAAGAGTGCCGATAAGTCAGAATTGACTGGATGGCACAACATCGTTGTTGTCGTTGTTGTCGTTGTTGTCGTTGTCGTTGTCGTCGTTGTTGTTGTTTGGGGTTATGAAGGATCCCTACTTCATTTGACACTGGGAATATGTTCTCTCCCCTTTTCTGCAGCTGAAGCCCTCAAATGCAATGTCTGCTTGGACTACAGAGCTGGAAAACCCTGTCTCAAAGGAAAGGGGGTCTGCACAGCTCGCCCTGGAGAGCAATGCGTCTATACCAGGATCATAAGCAGTAAGCACCTTCTCCTCTCCATAACGTTTTGCATGCTCTGTCTTTTCACCTGCCTGTTTTCTATTATCTAATCAAGACAGGTTCTGTTGAAGTTACCTTTGCTGAAAGAAGCGATGAAGAACAAGTCCTTGAATCTTGAGTCTGCATGCCTCGTAGCAGAGGTGGGAACTTGAGACACAGAACTTGCTGCCAAGTTGGACTTAAGTCATACCAGTGACTCAACTCTGACTTGGTACCTAAAACTCATATTGAACTTGGAACTCGAACCCATAGACTTGCCAACATCCCCGCCTCTTAGCTAGTGGTCATGCCGGCTGCAGAATTTGGGGAGCAGTATAGTTGAAAGGGTCATTTCTGGAAGCCAATGGAGGCTATGGACTCCGTTTTCTAGTGGGGCAGAAAATCTATTCCAAATTTTAGTCTAGAGATCACCCAAAGTATGAAACACTGTTTCCCAAAATAGTTAGGATTATGGACACTGTTCCCCAAAATAGGTTCTGTGCCTTGAAACCATACTTTAAAACCCATAGTGAATTCGCACGCACACCCTGAAATCAGAGGAGCTGTAGAGTAAAGTTAAAGCCACACACAATGGAGATCCACTATTTTTTTCAATAGCTTGGAACTGCTTATCTTTGAGACTAATGTTGGGTGAAAATGTTGGGTTTCTTCTCTTCTCCCATTACCTCCCCACTCTGCTCCATCACTGATCTGATCTGGTGAACAATAAGATCACAGGGGAGATTTACTGCTGGTTCAGTTTTGTTTGAGGTTTATTCTCAGACCGCGTTTTCTGCATTTTATGGTTTTTACTTTTTTTACTTATGACACTCCCAGAAGACTGTTGCTGTTGAGCAATATAGACACAATGGAAATAAAATAAATAAATACATATGCCCAAAAGGTACAAAAGTAAATATTTGTCACTTCTGTCCCCAGGAGAGAAGAACTCTGCTACAAGAGGGTGCAAAAAAACAAGTGAGAACTGCAACAAAACAATTAAGAAAGCTGGTACAATAACAATAACAACTTGCTGTAGCTACCCTGACTTTTGCATGTATCAAATCAAGAAACCCGGAAAATGAAACAAAAATAAGAATATTTTTTTCTGTATCTGAAATACTCCGAGCTCAGTTGATTTCTGAATCACCACTGTTTTGCACACTCGTTTGCTTTTGCTGCTTTCTAGTTTTCTCTGTTTCCCCTTGTTTATTGATGTATTCTTTTTACTCACAATAAAAGCCTCAGACTTTAGAGTAATCGTTTTGGAAAGTTATCTGTTATCTCTCACTCAGATTTACTAAACATTTACTAAATGTTCCTGAAATATTATAATACTATTAGGACAGAATGCAGGTGCATATAGGTGATTATGGAAGAATGCATGAATCGAGTGGATACAAAATTAAGATGCTGGATCACTTCATCCTCATCATAAGTATTTGCATTCTCCTCCAGTTGTGGGGATGTGTTTTTAAAATGTCTGAGATCCAGATGTTCACAGACAATGTTCATGTCCAGACAGTGGAAGTTGGGGCTCTCTGGTTCTCATTTAAAAGGTTCTTATCTTAATCTATTTTATCTCTCACTTAACAATCCGTCTATTCACACTGGTCTATATTTTTTTTCTCCTGTGGGAAGGGTCCAGACAGTCTTTGGATCACCCCAATTCATCCCCCTTTCCATTAATCTCCTACTTACCCCAATTCCCTGTCTATTCCCGCAGCCATCATTCAGCAGGACATGGCAACTTTCTCTTCTTTTTTGGGTTAAATAAAGTGACATAGCGAAACAGCAATACATCTATCTAGCATGGTACACATGATACTGTCAACGCATTGCATTCATCTGGAATAGTGCTGCATCAATATGAAAAAAGAAGTATCAATTAGAAATAGAAGAGTAGATGAAAACAGAGGAGGGTGGTTCTCTGTTATCCCTTTCAGTGCCATCACCCACTAAATATGCCACAGCATTGTCACCTCAGATAGCATGCTCACATTTCTATTTGGGTGTGGACTAACCATCCTCATGGGCCACGGAATGAGCTAATTGGGAGTGTTCCAAATCATGCCAACAAACCTGTAGCTCTATCACTGTGCCCAAAGGGCAGCTCTGAAAAAGGGGACAAGGTGGATCACTCTAAGTCAAAGCATGTGCGGACGCCATAAATCAAAGAGCACCAAAAGGAGTGCAAATACCAAGCTACTCTACCAGTGCGGACCTGCGCATTGCCAGGGGCTCAGGAATGTCTCTTGAAGTGTGACCAGTAGAGGGGTCAGAATCAATCTGTATGACTTTTATTCAGGTACAGAATAAACTGATGCTGCCACATGTCTAATACTCACCATCTCCCACCTCATACGCATTACTTGAAAAGGACAGGTTGCCACCTTGCCCTGTTCTTCGCTGGAACCTGTTATACTGGCTCTTGCCTTTCCATTGGACTATTTCAGTGATGTGGAGAGGGGGGATTTGCTCTCCCTTTTTTATCTCAAAAGGCAAAAAGGACATATTTTGGAAAACATGCGCATGACATGTCCATAGTGATGCTGGTCTGATATAGCTTTTCTTCCTTAGCTTGCTTAACTGAAAGAAACTGTTTGAAAATGGGAACATAGCTTTCATATCTGCATTCTGTAGAGTGATCATGGCAACATTTGTTTACCCAAGAGGCTTTTACATTCTGTGGTGTCACTTTGTGAATGGAAGCGAACACAAGAGAGTATCCTGTAGACCCTCTTGACTGCTCCCATTGGTGTTGTCAACAGTCAGGCCGCCCTTTGCTATGTAAAGCTTGGCATCCTTTTTCCTGCTGGAAACGTAGGCATGATATTGTGCAGCAGTA